TTGCACTGTTGCTTTGTCTGTTTAATAGATCTCTCCTTTAAGTTCAACCAAGGTTCTCAGAGCTAATTTGAAGACAATTTCAAATTTATTCAATATTTTTGGAAGAACTTTAACAGATTTTTTCATTTTAAAATAGATTTTTGTTCTTTATTTGTCGATTTCGGTGTTTATGCATTATATTGACGAATATATTGTAGCTAAAGCGATCCGCGATCGCACCCCCCTGTATAGTATTTGCTCCGATATATCACGTGACAAAATAATCCACAATTTGTGGATTATTTCACCAGCCTTTACCAGGGCCTTTGCTGCCCTTCGCATCTTTCTTTAAAAGGCCCTGGGGACGAGGTTGCGTTTTAAGGCGGTTTTCCACTAGGCGACATTTTTCGACCGAATCGAAATTTCTTTTGTTTCATGAGCTCTCGAGCAGAACTAATTGTAAAAAGACAAAGAGAAATTTTGTTTCGGTCGAAAAATTCCGCCTCGTGGAATCAGGCCTTTAAAACCTTGGATGTAAATGCATTCTTACTAGGCGATTAGCAATTCCTGACGCATGGGTAGGTGGCCCATGGTTACCTAAAATTTACATGAAAGCAAATAGTTACAGTGCCAGTGCCCAGTGGGCATTTTTTTAAGGAATCTGAATTAAACCAGGGTTGTTATTGTAAGCTGAATCGAAGACATAATAAATCTACAACGCAGTGTTTTGATTTTGTGTAAAATGTAGTTAATTAATCTACCGTTAATTTGTGTTGGTTTGGTCTGATCATATGGTCTGATGTTTAATGACTAAGGCTGTAGCTTGACCGATAATTGAGGGGAGGGCTTAAGCCCGCCGCACACGAGAGCAACTTGCTGAGCTAACCGCCTCGAATGGCAGCTAGCTCAGCTATGTATTTTCACCGCACACGTTGGGAAAACTACTCAACAACAACAACATAATTAACAAAATTATTTGCATTTTCCTCCATTTTGTTCCATGTCACATGAAGAAACTATGGTTTGTCATTGGCTAATTGATTCAAACAGCTCAGCACATACGGCTCATGCACATGCAACATGGTTAGATGGAAAACACGGAGTCGGAGTTCCGGAGTCGGAGCGTCGGAGTCCCGGAGTCGGAGTCCCGGAGTCTGACGTCATAAAAATATGGAAAACACGGAGTCATATGGAAAACACGGAGTCTGACGTCAGAGAAAAATATGGAAAACACGGAGTCATATGGAAAACACGGAGTCTGACGTCATAAAAATATGGAAAACACGGAGTCATATGGAAAACACGGAGTCTGACGTATTGTCAGCGTGAAATATGGAAAATAGTAATTAAATAATATATAATTTATGCGAATATAAACAAACGGACGAATTTATAATATAACGAATTGGAAATTTTCTGCACTAATTCTGGTATTTCTCTAAAATGTCGTGAAAATATGGATTATTTATTTTTAAATACAATCAAGCAAATAATATTGTTTCTCTTGTCGTGTGACTTGTTCAGTTGTACGATATTTGAAGTGATTTTAATGCGGATTTTGTTCACCTCGCATGGTATGTTGATAAAAATATAGTTATATACTTAATACTGCTAGAATATTTCATAGTCGATTTACATGTAATATTTATAACACACAAAATCTTGACACAAAACAGATATGCTGCTTGGAAACAGCGTGCAATATTGTTATTTACTAATAAAAAGATGCAGCCAGCCAACACAAATCCGTGCTGTATATTAATGGCATTAAAAAAGTTTTCAGGTGTCCAAAAAATACCTGCACTATAGTGGTAAGTCCATACCAAGTTAATATCTCTAACATATAAGTTTTAGGTTTTTACATATCAAGCCATTGATATTTGAGTGATCAAGATAGGTATTTATAACTGACCATTTGTTCCAGGCTTAATTTCATGATACCATTGTAAAATCGTCTGGCGTTAGGCAGAGTAAAATATAAAGTAGGGTACATCTGGGCACATATATTGCCACTTATAATTAAAGGGTTAATATAGAAATTTTGTATTTCATAAAGTATTACAATGCTTTTGAAAGGGATAATTTTAAGTGAAACCCACCTGTTGTGGACTTAAAAGTAAAATTGTGAACTGATGATGCAGAACCACTGGTAGCTAGGGATTGTGGGGCACTAAATTTACTGTTTTCGTAGATTTTTGTCCAAGCAATTAAGTTATAAAGAACAGAATAATAGTGTTGCCACATTCATGTAGTTATAGGCAAATGGTTGATTTGTCAAATATCAATTATGGATTGTTTCATTATAAATACTGGAATGCTCATACTGGATGGTTGTACAATAAGCAAAATTTGCCTTAGGGCCTGTTTATATGGAAGCCGGGCTGGCCCGCTTAGCAAGACAGCCCGGTAAGCGGGATGAATTTCTCTCGTGTTTATATGAGAAAATTTCATCCCGCTTGCCGGGACAATTTTGTTGCATTGTATTGTTTTGACAGTTGTTAAAAATAGCTTGCGCGGTATCTTTGAACTTTCATCCCGGCAACCAGCCTAGCCTGCTTGTGAGTGTTTATATGGAGAAATTTCCTTCCCGGTAAGCGAGATCTCGCCTCTTTCAAGCGAGTCCATATAAACGCACAATAATTTTTACTATAAAAATAACTACACAGCGAGATCTCACTTACCGGGCTGTCTTGCTTAGCGGGCCAGCCCGGCTTCCATATAAACAGGCCCTTAGTAAATTTAGTAAGCCAGTATATCTAGGCTGGCTTGCATTACATATAAAACATCCCCTATAATCCTACAATAGTTGGGAAAAATTAAGAAGTAAAACAAATCTAGAATGAAATATATTTCCCTTCAATATATGCAATTTGTAGTTAGTTGTATATATAGGCACAAAAATGGCTGAAATAGTTTAAAATTCAATACAATGTCATTGTGTTGACATGAAAATATTCTGTTTTTGTAGCCATAGGTGTTAATTTAAACCATGAGATGCTCAATCGTATGAACTATGAATGCAGATTTGCAGTGGTGTAGTGGCATAGACTTGTATGTCACTATGAATCTATGTAAGAATATATTGAGCATTAATTGCATGGTTTAAATTAACACCTATGGCTACAAAACAGTTGGTAGAATATTTTCATGTCAACACAATGACATTTTATTGAATTTTAAACTATTTCAGCCATTTTTGTGCCTATATATACAACTATAACTACAAATTGCATATATTGAAGGGAAATTTACTTCTTAATTTTTTCCAACTATAGTAGGATTATAGGGGATGTTTATATGTAATGCAAGCCAGCCTAGATACTACGGATTCAGGTAGACCGTTTAATGCGAATAGTTGTCGCGTTAGTTTTAACAGTTGTACGATGACGTTTCTAGGCAGATTTTCGACGTTTCTAAGGCGTGGCTTCAACGTTTATTTTTAAAATTTGAACGTTGTAATTACAAGGTAATTGCTAAATAATATACTTCAAAATAAGGTTTTCGTTTATATAACGTAGAAAAAATCATCCTAACGCAAAACTAAACCCTTACCTAACCCTAACTTATTTAAAAAAATGATATAAAAACGGAAACCTTATTTTGAAGTATATTATTTAGCAATTACCTTGTAATTACAACGTTCAAATTTTGAAAATAAACGTTGAAGCCACACCTTAGAAACGTCGAAAATCTGCCTAGAAACGTCATCGTACAACTGTTAAACGGTCTACTAGTGATGGGCGATACCAGGATTTTTAATTCGATACCGATACCGATACTTTTAAGATTGGTATCGGCCGATACCGATACCTATTTCGATACCAAAATGAACACAAAATTTCAATTTTCGATACCGGAAATGAGTACTTAAATTGCTAGTATCGGCTACTTTCGATACCTGCCGGTCAGCGGAAAAACATTTTATATCACTGTATGTAACCTAAATAAAGCTATATGTAAACCAAAAGCCTGAAACGTAATAAATATTTTCTATACATGTATATGACTTGGCGCACCACATTTGGAATATTAAGACTTATTTTAGTGGTTCATTAAGTCTAATTCAACCTAACCTGCAATCAGGGGACCAAGAAGTGAAATTAAACAAGTCGTTTAAAAAAGGGTGCAAGTATCGAACGATACCACGTCAGTAATCGATACCGATACCGCTGTTTGTGGTATCGCTGGTATCGAATACCGAGTACTCGGTATCGCCCATCACTACCGGTCTACCTGAATCCGCAGTACTGGCTTAATTACTTTACTAAGGCAAATTTTGCTTATTGTACAACCATCCAGTATGAGCATTCCAGTGTTTATAATGAAACAATCCATAATAGCTAGATATTTGACAAATCAACCATTTGCCTATAGAATTACATGAATGTGGCAACACTATTATTCTGTTCTTTATAACTTAATTGCTTGGATAAAAATCTATGAAAATAGTAAATTTAGTGCGCCACAATCCCTAGCAGTATTCCTAGCAGTATTCCTAGCAATATCCCTATCCCAGTGGTTCTGCATCATCAGTTCACAATTTTATTTTAAGGCCACAACACTAAGGTGGGTTTCACTTAAAATTATCCCTTTCAAAAGCGTTGTAATACTTTATGAAATACAAAATTTCTATATTTATTTTATGTGGCCTAAATAACAACGCTGTTTCCAAGCAGCATATCTGTTTTGTGTCAAGATTTTGTGTGTTATAAATATTCTAGCAGTATTAAGTATATAAACTATATTTTTATCAACATACCATGGGAGGTGAACAAAATCCGCATTAAAATCACTTCAAATATTGTACAACTGAACAAGTCACACGACAAGAGAAACAATATTATTTGCTTGATTGTATTTAAAAATAAATAATCCATATTTTCACGACATTTTAGAGAAATACCAGAATCAGTGCAGAAAATTTCCAATTCGTTATATTATAAATTCGTCCGTTTGTTTATATTCGCATAAATTATATTATTTAATTACTATTTTCCATATTTCACGCTGACAATACGTCAGACTCCGTGTTTTCCATATGACTCCGTGTTTTCCATATTTTATGACGTCAGACTCCGTGTTTTCCATATGACTCCGTGTTTTCCATACTTTTATGACGTCAGACTCCGTGTTTTCCATATGACTCCGTGTTTTCCATATTTTTATGACGTCAGACTCCGTGTTTTCCATATGACTCCGTGTTTTCCATATTTTCTCTGACGTCAGACTCCGTGTTTTCCATATGACTCCGTGTTTTCCATATTTTTATGACGTCAGACTCCGGGACTCCGACTCCGGAACTCCGACTCCGTGTTTTCCATCTAACCATGCAACATCCGCAGACGCTGAGATTTTTTCCTCACGAGGCGAAAAATATCAAACACGATAGATATTTTCCTCAAAGCCTCGAGAGGTTAAATCCTTACGAAAACTATCCGCACACGAGAGCAACTTGCTGAGCTAATCGCCTCCTAGGGAATTAGGAGACATAAAACACTGGCCACTCCAAACCGAGATTCAGTGGCGGAAATGCACTTTTTACAGGGGGGGGGCAAATCCTCCTAAATTTCCGACAAAACTTTCAAATTTCGGACAAACCCCCCCCCCCCCCCCTCCCATTTGTAAAGGTTGTTTTTAGGCATTTAGCCCTCTTTAGGTCAAAATTTCCGAAAATTCGTCAATTTTCCGTAAGGTCCCCCCCCCCGTCCCACCGTGATTTCCGCCACTAGGCTTCTACAGATTATGCTACGAAAATGCTGAAATTGTGCCCTAGAAATGCTCAAAAGTTGCTCGAAAATTGAATAAGTTGCTCGAAAACTTGAAAAAAAGTTGCTCCTAAAATGTCAAAAGCTTCTCGTAAACGAGTGGGTAAGCAAGATATGGCTGATTATTAAACAGCTGTACGGCTCTATGAAAATCAATGTCAATTGATAGTTTATGTACTGTTTAATAAATGAGTAGGAGTGTTTTATCACATATAAAGTAGGAGATTAAGTAGGAGTGTTTTATCACATATATGTGATAAAACACGAACTACGAGACGTACGAGTTTATTAAACAGCTTCAAAAACGACTCATAGTCTTATAAATCTATATATATATCTTATAAATCTATCTTATAGAATCTATCTTGTAAAGCGTTTCAGATAGATTATCAACTATCTTTTTGAAATGATCAAAATCCATTCGCATAAATTTTTCAAATCCTGTTGTGTCGTGGGCAGCCAGTTCGGGAAGAAGTTGACCGAAATAACCTTTGTTTTTTCTCTCTAGAAGCCAGTGCCGGCTCCAAATACGTTTCTTTTCTTTAACCTCCTCGTCATCTTCTTCCAGCAAAAGCATTGCAGCTTTGACCACAAGTTCTTTCTTCGACGCCATGTTGTTGTCAGTGACGTTTGTGCCCGGTTTTTTCATGCAAATAGTTGCGACGCGGCTAAGTTATCATTGCTCGTGTCACCACTTCACTAGCGCGAGTAACGCAATTAAATCTAACCCGTTGCAAAGGCGTTGCGTTGCCGGCGCGAGAAAAAAATCGCACGTGTAACTGGACCTTTATACGAGTTCATTGGCGAAGTAATTTTTAAAATAAACTTTGTCTAAACCGAGAAAATCAAAGCTAAAGTTTATGTAAATTAACATGATTTTCAATCACATATAAAACCACGACACGCTTATGATTTTTTTTATGATTTAAGATTTATATAGAGAATAATACATGGGTGCGCGGAAATACAGATTTATTTCGAGTGTTGAACATGATATCTCACGAGTGAGCCATCATGTTCAACACAAGAAATAAATCTGGTATTTCCAAGTACTCGTGTATTTTTCTGTTTATTATATAAAGACAGTGTGTGAAAAGCGATAATTTTTACAGAAAAGCGATAATTGAAAAGCGATAATTTTCACATGTGAGATTATCATAAATAATCTCACATGTGAGATTATCACTTTTATTAGTGCTCGAATAGCCTGCGTAGCAGGCGGTATTCGCGGCCACGAGAGAATGGGAATCTAGCAGTACCGCCTGCTACGCAGGCTAGTGCTCGAAGTACTATTTAAAGCCTGGTTCACATATGCCTGCGGTATGCCTGCGATGGCATCATTATGCCCCTACTTGCCGCCGAAATACCGGCAAAGTTGAACTCAAGTCAACTTTCCCGGCCTATCGCCGATGTAACTGTGGCACTGGAGGCAATCGGCGAACAAATATTCACATAATTTACGTTTTAAGCTACCACTGGCATCGTCGCCGGTACGTCGCAGGCACGTCGCAGGCATATATATGAACCAGGGCGCTATAAAACACGGGCGTGGAAACGAGCTGATATCGCGCTGATCCATGTGTGATGCGCCAGAGAACTGGCACTAGCGCGCGTTTTGAGAGAAAAGCAAAAAGAAAAGCAAAATCATGGCGGAAAAACGATTGTTGTGCGACGTTGAAAGCCAGGGCGAAAATAGAGGTAAGACCTTTATTAATGTGAGATTTCTTTTATTAATTTTTAAAAGGAACATTATTTTATGCTATTAAGAAACTTTTTACGAAAGTAGCATCCCGGCGTATTTGAGAAAATAAGTTAGTTTTTCAATTATTTTAATGTGAGGGGCATCAAATTTTATTACTTTACGCACGACAACAGAGGTTAAAATCAATGCCGTCTGAACACTAGGTAGGCCTAGATAAATTTGATAGCTTAAAAATGTGTAGAATTTTTCTGACTTTAGTACACAATATATACCAAGACCGGCTTTTACCGGCTTTTTTTGCTATGCTTAAATTTTGCATTAACATAATTTTCTCGACAGCGCGTGAGAGCTAAAACATAAAAAGTTTACAAATCGCGGTCAAACTAAAAGTCAATGTCAACATTGCAACACAATTTTTCAGTAAATTAAATTCTTAAAAAACTATAGGTGAACATAAGGGGCGGACCATTAGAAAAGTGATGGGGAAACAAAAAAAAAATTCGTGCAAGGTGAATTAACTTTAAAAAAAATTCCTGCATGATCAAATGCGAGGAAAAAAAATTCCTGCAGAGCGCAATGAAAAATATAATTAAATCATTGTTGGCGAGATTGTTCATTGTTGGAAAACAGGGCCAAGCTTTATTTTATTCTGGACTTGCAATCCACGATGTTAGTCATCTTTCAACAAAAATAGGTTGTTTAATATCTTCTATAGACGTCTATAGAAGATTATAGAATGGTGGGCCATGTAGCCGCAAATTCAATTGCGGTGCCTTTGGCTTTGCATCATTTGGAATGGTATATAAGAATTGGACGGCTTCATGTAATCATGTATGTCTTTTAATCAGAGTCAGACACAGGTATTAAACTGACTCGCACAGAGATACTACTGAAATAGTAAATTCGTAAAATAGATTGGAACTTGAAGTTGAAAACGTATTTTGTATAAAATATGTGTTTTTAATAAAAAGTCTGGTATTGGGGTTTGGCTTTGGGTGAATGGGTGGGGCTAAGTCTGAGGAAAATGAGAGATCGTTGTCTTTTGACTCCATGGCTGTATCAAAATATATAATAGTTTTCTACAACTTTTCAAAAGTAATTGTTCAAGGAATTTAATCACATTATTTATTGAAAGAACAGAAAATAGTTAGTCTTTTTCATACGTTACTTGTGCTTTGTTAAGAAAACTTCTAGTTTCATGGAAAAAAAAATTCGTGCAAATAATTTGGTGCCAAAAAAAAATTCCTGCAACGTCTGCAACGCCAAAGCAGTTGAAAAAAATATCGTGCATGCAAGAAAGGTCCCACCGCCCCCATCACTTTTCTAATGGTCCGCCCCTAATTGTTTTAAGAATTTTTAACCCTGTCAGCATAATTTATTTATATTACTAACACTTTTCTATAAATCCAATGAGAAGTGTCTTTTCAAAGCGGGCAAAACTTATTTTTATATATACATTGCATTAATGTTCTCGTTTACTTTTTTCATGCATGGACAAAAATGTCTTGTTGATATTTCAACATACTGTCTCATGTACGAACTATAACTGTTTACCACAAAATTTACAGTTATAATGATATATAGTATCATATAATTTATGTTTTTTAGCAACAGAAAGTCGGCTTTTTTGTTAAAACATGATTTTCCGGCTTGGTATTGACATGGTCTTACATGAAACGACTGTTATTAAGCCATTAATTTATTTTGCAGGAAGCGCGGAAAAAACGTTTCGACTTGTATCTTTTTATCTAGGTGAAAAACGTTGCCTGAAATTTTGCACAGTTATTAATAAAGTTATGGAAAATCAATTTTTATTAAAACGAAGACCGGCTTTTTTGTTAAATCACAACTTTTCGGCCTGGTTTTACCATGGTATCACTCGAAAGGACAAGGTCAATGTAGCCATGTTTGGCCATGAAACTCAAACCGCGGAAAAAAATCTTTTTATTTATATCTTTTTTCCTAGGTGAAAAACTTTGCCTGAAATTTTGCACAGTTGTTAATAAAGTTATGGAAAATCAATTTTTATTAAAACGAAGACCGGCTTTTTTGTTAAATCACAACTTTTCGGCTTGGTTTTACAATGGTATCACTCGAAAGGACAAGGTCAATGTAGCCATGTTTGGCCATGAAACTCAAACCGCGGAAAAAAATCTTTTTATTTGTATCTTTTTACCTAGGTGAAAAACTTTGCCTGAAATTTTGCACAGTTGTTAATAAAGTTATGAAAAATCAATTTTTATTAAAACGAAGACCGGCTTTTTTGTTAAATCACAACTTTTCGGCTTGGTTTTACAATGGTATCACTCGAAAGGACAAGGTCAATGTAGCCATGTTTGGCCATGAAACTCAAACCGCGAAAAAAAATCTTTTTATTTGTATCTTTTTACCTAGGTGAAAAACTTTGCCTGAAATTTTGCACAGTTGTTAATAAAGTTATGGAAAATCAATTTTTATTAAAACGAAGACCGGATTTTTTGTTAAATCACAACTTTTCGGCTTGGTTTTACCATGGTCTCACTCGAAAGGACAAGGTCAATGTAGCCATGTTTGGCCATGAAACTCAAACCGCGGAAAATTTTTTTTTTATTTATATCTTTTTTCCTAGGTGAAAAACTTCGCTTGAAATTTTGCACAGTTGTTGATAAAGTTATGGAAAATCGATTTTTATTAAAACGAAGACCGGCTTTTTTGTTAAAACATGATTTTTTAACCTGGTTTTGACCTGGTCTCACATGCAACAACATTAAAGGCGCTATCAGCCATTTTTACTCATGAAACACGAAGCGCGGAAAAAATGTTTCGACTTGTATCTTTTTATCTAGGTGAAAAACGTTGCCTGAAATTTTGCACAGTTATTAATAAAGTTATGGAAAATCAATTTTTATTAAAACGAAGACCGGCTTTTTTGTTAAATCACAACTTTTCGGCTTGGTTTTACAATGGTATCACTCGAAAGGACAAGGTCAATGTAGCCATGTTTAGCCATGAAACTCAAACCGCGGAAAAAATCTTTTTATTTATATCTTTTTTCCAAGGTGAAAAACTTTGCCTGAAATTTTGCACAGTTGTTAATAAAGTTATGGAAAATCAATTTTTATTAAAACGAAGACCGGCTTTTTTGTTAAATCACAACTTTTCGGCTTGGTTTTAACATGGTCTCACTCGAAAGGACAAGGTCAATGTAGCCATGTTGGGCCATGAAACTCAAACCGCGGAAAAAAATCTTTTTATTTGTATCTTTTTACCTAGGTGAAAAACTTTGCCTGAAATTTTGCACAGTTGTTAATAAAGTTATGGAAAATCAATTTTTATTAAAACGAAGACCGGCTTTTTTGTTAAATCACAACTTTTCGGCTTGGTTTTACCATGGTATCACTCGAAAGGACAAGGTCAATGTAGCCATGTTGGGCCATGAAACTCAAACCGCGGAAAAAATGTTTCGACTTGTATCTTTTTTCCTAGGTGAAAAACTTTGCCTGAAATTCCGCACAGTTGTTAATAAAGTTATGGAAAATCAATTTTTATTAAAACCAAGACCGGCTTTTTTGTTAAATGACAACTTTTCGGCTGGTTGTGCCATGGTCTCACTCGAAAGGACAAGGTCAATGTAGCCATGTTTGGCCATGAAACTCAAACCGCGGAAAAAATGTTTCGATTTGTATCTTTTTTCCTAGGTGAAAAACTTCGCTTGAAATTTTGCACAGTTGTTGATAAAGTTATGGAAAATCGATTTTTATTAAAACGATGACCGGCTTTTTTGTTAAAACATGATTTTTTAACCTGGTTTTGACCTGGTCTCACATGAAAGACATTAAAGGCACTATCAGCCGTTTTTACTCATGAAACACGAAGCGTGGAAGAAATGTTTCGACTTGTATCTCTTTTCCTAGGTGAAAAACTTTGCCTAAAATTTTGCACAGTTGTTAATAAAGTTATTGAAAATCGATTTTTATTATAAAGAAGACCGGCTTTTTTGTTAAAACACAGCTTTTCGACTTGGTTGTGCCATGGTCTCACTCGAAAGGACAAGGTCAATGTAGCCATGTTTGGCCATAAAACTCAAACCGCGGAAAAAATGTTTCGATTTGTATCTTTTTTCCTAGGTGAAAAACTTCGCTTAAAAATTTGCACAGTTGTTGTTGAAGTTATTTAAAATAGTTTTTTCTACAAAAGAAGACCGGCTTTTTTGTTTTTTACCGGCACTATCTGCGATTTCTACTCATGAAACACGAAGCGCGGAAAAAAATGTTTCGACTTGTATCTTTTTCAGTTCTCTATGACGTTAAAAGATAGTCCCAAGCTATAGACTCGCAGGAAAAACCGTATCTGTAGAAAAAATATCCGTTTCAACCGAGGTTTCAACCACTTTATGTCTTTAAAAGTGTACTGACCTTTTCAGGCTGTTGTAGACAAACCACATTTTCTTTACAATTTTCCCTCTTGACTTGGCATAAACTTTAAGTACATAAATCTCGCATTCCATATAGTTCATCCCAGAGGTAAATCGTTTTGGTGTTCATTTGCAAATGAGTTTCAACTAGCCCATGTTTCTTATTTTAACTCTTGCCGTGTCTTTCCAAATGTTAATATTCGAATGAGCCATAATTCGACAGCGCAAGGCATATAAATTTTCTTCACTTTGCATGATCGAGAAACTCCATGGCTACTCGAAAGAAAGCCACTTGATGCATGTCACCCATAATTAATGTCCAAAAAATATAACCCAGATATAATAAGCATGTCTTTTTAATACTTTCATCCATCATTTTAGAAGAAACCATTCATTTTTGATGCTTTATAAACGTATTTCGTTCGAAAGTCGAAACGTGTTTTTGTTTTATAAATTATTACACCACGTTGAGCATGCGCAAGCATGATGGCATTGCTCATGTGATTGCGCACGTGGAATTGTCAACAGTGACCAGAATATAGTAACTGGAGTCCCATTCCAAGCAGGGCTCTATAAAAAATCCAGAGTTTTGTCATTTACATTTAATTATTTTTATTCCATATATAGATAATTCTGATGGTGACTTATTTATTAAATGTCCTCCGAAACGACCGTGTTTAGCGTCGCTAGATGTTAATACGGTGGTTAGCAGTTCTGTCAGAACCAATTGTTCCATGTCTGTTGCGGAGCATTCAAGTAATATTCCAATTGGCGGATTGTCTGGAGATTCACGAGAACATGCTGAATGTATTGAAAAAGCACCGGTACCGAATTTCGCAGAACGATTAGAGAACTATTTTATATCAGGCACGCCGTTATGCCCTGAGGAGTTACTTATTTATTCGCTAATGAAATTGCAATTTAAAACTTACACATTCAATAGGCATCATTCAATATCTCAATACGTAAAAATTGCCGATGTTGTATCTACAATATGCGGTGCCCAGTTTGAACCCACTTCAATGCGAAGGTTCTTTCCAAGAATAGCAAATAATGAGCTGAAATCGAATGTCGGAAAGGAAAACGGAAAGGTGAGATGGAGCTATTTTGGTAAGCAGATTGATGAATTAATATGTGTTTCAGGGAAAGACCTTGAGCAAATGTTAAATAGTTCTAAAACAACGCCAGAAGATGTCATCGTGAGAACAAGTGATCAGTTAAGAAGAATATGTTCTACTGTCGTGATCAACCCCGAGCTGCAACCAATTGCTCACACACCCAACTTTAGTAACCAGTTTTTTAACTTAGTAAAACCACTACTAGCAACGCCTACCACATCACGCTGGGTGCCATGGTTTGATTCGGCGAAGGAAATTTGCCACGTATACCGTTTCGACGAATCGCCAGGGTATGCCGAAGTAGAGATCCGCGTGCTGTCGACTGGTGAATGGGTGTTTTATTCCAGTAAGATCGAAAAAAACAAGTCTAAAGTTGAACTTCTACATAGTATTCCAGCTAAATTAAATAACATTTCGGATTTGGCCGAACTAATTAAAAAAATCGATGTGTGCAAATTTTGCGTTGGTTGTGGAAATCCAAATGACTACAAAGACTTGAATAACGACAAACCATACATTTACAAAAAGAAAGATGGTACAGATGGTGTTCGTCTGGAGGAGAATACAGTGTTTTCAGCAGATTGTAAAGTATTGGTACCAACAAATTCGACATCGCCTTGTGAAGCGTGTCAAACATCCCGTCACTACCTAAGAACGTTGGTATCTCGAGGCAATACAGAAGAAACTGCGGCGCAGAATAAGGCAAAAGCAAGGTACGACTACAAGTCCAGAGGTGAGCTCTTAGAAATTGCTAGAGAATCGGCGAAAACCATCAAACGTCTTAAAACGCAAAATCGACGACTGGAAGACTTCAGAGAGAAAATGGTAAATGTTGGTCCAAATTCGAATGAGGATCTAAAACAGATGTTCGTAGAGTTGCAAAGTGGTCTTGATGAGAACCGAATGAAATTAAAAAACCCCGTTTGTCAATGGGATGGCTGTCATGCTACACGATTTGAAAACGTGGAAGAACTCTATCGACATTGCAAAAGTCACGTTGACCGGATTGATACAGGTGTCGTTCCTCCGATACAGAGATGTTATAACTGCAAGTGGAATGGATGCAAGAAGCAATATTCAAAATTAAAACTTCTTGAAAACCATATAAGAGAACATACTGGTAATTTAAATGAAGAGTTCCTCGAAATACTTCTATCAGATCAAGCAAAGGCTATAAAGACAGAGTCGAGGCAAATGCGATGGCATCCCATGGTTATCAAATGGTGTCTTAGAATCTACTTAAAGTCCCACAGATTATACGATGATCTGCGACATTCTGGCGGTCTAAAGTTGCCAAGCGGGAGAACCCTGTCAGCATATAATAATTTCTGTGCACCAAAATCTGGTTGGCAAACAGAAAATCTTCGCCTTATGAAGGAAAGTTTTGATCGAATGAAACCTCCAAAACATGCACAAATTGGAGGACTATTTTACGACGAAGTGAAAATCAACGAGGGTCTTGTCTTTGATCATAGAAGTTGGGAGCTTATTGGTTTTACTGATCTGCAAGATAATGACCTTACTACTACCATCTCTGAAGAAAGGGCCTTGCCTCGGTCGCCATCAGATAATTTGGCCACTCATGTATTACAGTTCTTCTTTCGCTCCACATTCTTCAAATTTGATTTTCCTTGTGCTTTTTTCCTCACCCAGAACACAACTGCCTTGCAACTTAATCGACTATTTTGGCTTGGTGTGAGCATGTTGCATACCTATGGATTTGAAGTCATTTTGTCATGCTGCGATGGCGCCTCTTCGAACAGATCATTCATAGTCTTAAACACTGGAGACAATAACAGTTGTCTCTGTCACAATCGATTTTCTGGGATGCCAATATTCTTTTTTTCAGACCCTCCCCACCTCATAAAGAAACTAAGAAACAACCTATACACCAGTGGTCATAAATCGGAACACCCTCGGTACACCCGTTCCCTGTTTCTTAGAGATAAATACATACTGTGGGATCATATCTATTCGGTTTATAAACGAGAAACGCAGAGACATCTTTACGTTACGGACATGCGAAAGGCACATGTGACCATCGACAGCGTTAGTAAGATGCGTGTGAAACTTGCGGTTGATACATTGTCACTCAAAGTAGCACATGAAATGGAAGCGTGCGATAAGAAGACCACCGAGGAGACCAGGAAGTACATTACGATGTGTCAAACGTTTTGGAGCATTTTTAACGACCCGATACCACTGAAGACAGTTGACGACGCTCGCATATCAAAACTGGATGGAGTGGTGCAGTATTTTTACGATTGGGAAAGCTGGCTGTCACAAAAGTATGAAACGAAGGCTGAACAAGCCCAGCACTACATATCATGGCAAACAAAATTCGATCTCCAAGTAAGAATGTGTTTTACTTCAGTCTTGGTTATCCTTCTTTACACTTAGAAATCTTATATTAATTTTACCGTACATATGCTCACTACTCAGTATGCCCATAGCCACAGTACAAACCAGGGTGTTATAAAACAGTTTTATTGAGCCCCTAGTACAAACAGCCAAAATGAACGCGTTATTAGACCATTATTATGCTACTCTGTAATTGTGTTCTTTTTTGTGTAGGGTACTGTCAGTGCATTAAAAGAACTGGTGAAATACATACACACGAACGATTTTACGAGTAAATACGGTGAAGGCCTATACCTCAATTTAAAACGCATTAGTCAAGATCACGTCGAGTCTTACTTTTCTGCGCAAAGACAAATGTGTGGAGGAACACAAAACATGACGGGATACACGTATGGCTACAACATTAACACCCTAAATAGTATACGTTCTTCGAGATTGCTCATGAAAAAACAGACAAACGTTTACGAAGTCTCTGAAGCACTACCCTTCCTCAACAACACGGAACAATTACCGAAACGCAGAGTTAATGAAACGATCTGGGATTCTGTTCCATGGTGTGTTAACGTTTAAGACATGAGAAATACTACGTTTGAATTACGCATAACATGAATAGCTTCTATTACTTATTATATATATTCAGAATGATATAAACACCCTGTGTGAAACATTGCAGTGAACATTCTGCATTGTCAGTATATTTACGCTCAGTAAAAAATCTACAAGTTACAAAATAGTGAAGCCTAACTACTAATCAGCTTCACCTACTTAACCACTAATACAACAATTATTATAAGTAATAGCATAAAAAGAGGCGAATTAGCTATTAAAACGTCCCGCGCGATGAGGGTCGTTTAGTAAAATTCCCTTGGGCGCCGCTCGATGAGGGTCATTCGATGAGAGCCGCTCGATGAGAGCCATCCGAGGGCCGAAGGCCCGAGGAAATTTTACTAAATGACCCGAATCGAGCGGCGCCCAAGGGAATTTTACTAAACAACCCTCATTGGGCGGGACGTTTTCAATAGCTAATTCGCCTCTTTTTATGCTATTACCTTATAATATCTTGATTGCGGGTATTCCCTTTGTTCTCGCAAGGCCATTAAATACCAATTAACAATAAATAATGGTATAAATTAAATGGTATAATTGTTTTCCATGTCTTTGTTTAGTTTTGGCGATTTCAGATATCTTCATTTACATTCATTTTTAGTGCAAAGTTGCTTTGCACTATTGTTATGAGGTTAAATTCAATTCAGTGACCGATCAATGGATCGATCTATAGAGTAAACAATCCGGGGGGAGCTTGCAAATTATTTTTATTACGTTTTCTAGAGCTTCCCGATGTTCGGCCAACTAGTCGTTCATAGCTGTTACCATACCGTACCATACCATACCGAAATTGCACGTTTTTGACCAAAATTTTTTTTAAAAACTTGGAAATTTCTAAACAAAAAGGGCACCTTTGATGTTAACTCAGTATTTACAGCGACATTAGCTTGTACAAAAAGGGCACTTTTCATAACAAAAAAGGGCACTTTTCATCACAAAAAAGAGCACTTTTAGTCCTTTGAACCCCGTTCCTACGCCCCTGTATATAAAAACAAACGCCATACAACTTCCTTATAGATGCATCAACCCTATTTCATATATTAATCATTATGCGAATCAACGTCGTATCGGGTACGATTAGAACTAATCCTACCTGACATTACGTAAAAGCAGGTAGGATTAGAAAAAAAATAATATAATGAGGTGTATTAGTTGCCCTGCGAGAACAGAGGGAATACCCGCAATCATGATATTATTACCTACATTCTAACGAATTAACTATATACAATCTATGGTTACTAACTAAACATGCACCCGGGGGCAATATTCTAAAGTAAATTCATAAGCAGGCCAGAAATATGCGCAGATTTATTATACAGTAATGTTGCAAAATTAACAGTGATTATAGTGTTTTATTTTCTTTGAGCGTTTCTGCTTGTAAGTTCTTTAGTAATTTACATTTGTAGACGTATGTGAAAATTTCAAAGCCTTTCACGACAAAAGCTGCCTACCTTGTATGATATATACGCACTGAGTAAACGACCCACGTGGATACTTATGAGCTGCCTATGGACAATACAATTTTCCATAAATCATTGCACTTTGTCAGTATTAAATGTAGTATAAAGTTGTGAGCAATGTAGATAAAAAACAGGATATTTTACGTAACTATAATGGTATACAACATTCTCTTGTAATTGCGGGAGACGAATCTTAGCTAACTGAACTCCTGAAATATTTTACAACAAATTTAGACAAAATTTCGCAGAAAAACGATCAAACTTTCTTCCACCAAGTCATCAAGACTGATGGTGTGCCAAAGAGTAACAATCGAGTCAAATAGCGCCAAAATATACTATGAGACATTTTGAAGCAGACATCAATTAGGTTTCTGGTGTACTATCAAAACGTGCAATAAATAAATTATGAACTGTTAAAATAAATTACGAATCGTTATATAAAAAGTGGTCTTTGTGTGGTTTGCAAACATTTGAAAGGACAAATATTCAATAACTCAATAAAGAATTGTTTCAAAATATCATTTGTAAGTATAGCATGAACTGAGTGAACAAGGTGAAAATTTATAATTATTTCAATATCCAAATTTCCGATATCAAAAACCAATGACAAGCTGCAATACCTGTAGTTGTTTGAGCTTTAATTTACAGTACCTTCATAATATTACTGAAAAATTTTATCAAGGACCAACTTGAAACACATGTTGATAAAATTATTTTGAAAAAGTATTCAAATTTTTTTAAAAACAACTCTAACTGAAACCAAACAAATTTTAAAACTGATCGCTCTGGTAGTTTTTAAGTAACAAACAAAAATCATGCTCCATAAAACAGTGTTTTATGGCATCCTAATCAAAGTGACAAGTATGTGATAGCATTAAAAGGTCAAGTAAAGTAATTTTCTCAAAAAATTGCACGAACATGCAAGAACTGACATCTGTCTTATGATCCATAAGCTTGCCTGGGTTCAATTGGCAAGGGAAACAAAATAGAATTGTATATAACATATTGAACTATTGGTAGAACATAATGTTAATGGAAAACAATGGAATACTATCTTGTAGTATAAAATGTGCAAGAATAAATATTCTGTTACTGTGATTCCTACAATCAGGGCGCTATAAAACACCCAGCACCCAGTGTTTTATAGCGCCCTGCTACAATATTAAAGTATGAATACTGCAGGAACCGTTCATAAAGCCTGTACAAGCTGTGGTCAGGAAATTTTGCCATTGAGGATTTGAGGTTCTTAGTATATTTCGTGAACAGAGTTCTTAATATCAATTTGGCTTGTACAAACTACAGTACGTACTTTTTTATGTTAAGCAATTTTAACTTATATATAGTATTCCTATAAAGTTGATACATACAGTCCCCTCTCTTTCTTTATCCATCTTTCATAATGGACATCACTTTTTATTTGGTTTTCCGTGTAGCTAAAAACAAGATACAATGTCAAATCTCCATTCTCATATTTATAAAATTTTTCAATTTAATGTATTATTTGTTTAACTAGTTTAAGCCGCGGGCAATCTCGTTCCCCAAGCCTGCGATCCTCGGGAAGGAATGCGAGGCTCTGGGATAATCCGTTGCCGGAAGCCAGGAATTCTGGCTAAGATTGAACTACACATCCATTTCAACGGCCAATCAGATTCCTCCCTGAAACGGATTATTTCCTCGCGTTCCTTCCCGAGGATCGCAGGCTTGGGGAACAAGATTGGGCCGTGGGCCAAAACTATTTTACTTCATGGCAACCCCTTAGGGAATTGATTTCTGTGATTCAATGCGTAGCACCATGGATACTCGACTACCACAAAAAGTTCCCAATCAAAAACTTGCCAAACACCGAGAAAATGGGTGATCAGTGATTATCCCATATTAAATTGTATTATAGCAAGAAAATGTGAAATTTTGTATTCCATTACAACAAAAATGACTTGCATCATCAGAAAGTTTACAAAAAACCGCATATAAGACATTCAAACAGTTTTTTATCCTTTAAATAGTCTTTGAGTTATTGCTGTTTTAAATGTGAAAATTGGACCAAAATGTCGCAATAAGGACTGGGTACTAGGTCAAAAACGCATTTTTGACAGAATATAACTCGAAAACAATTTGAGATATAAAAAATGTTTAAGTGTCTTATATCCAGTTTTTCGTAAGCTTCCCGATGATGCTTCCGGTCATTTTTGTTGTAATTGAACACAAAATTTCACATTCTTTTGCTGTAATACAATTTAATAGAGGATAATCACTAATCACCCATTTTCTTGGTGTTTGGCAAGTTTTTTGCTTGGGAACTTTTTGCGTTAATTGAGCATCTATGGTACTGTGCATTGAACCACAGAAAATCTATTCCCCAGGACGTTGCCACGAAATTGCTTTTCCAAGCACTTTTTCGCACAACGGCCTAGTTGCTATATAGTTACAGCACACTCACTCAGGGTATTAGCCAGGATTTGAAGAGTGACTGTCCAAAATAATTTTGTGGGTGTGGCAACATTTTTTGTGGGCGTGGTCACATGTTTTTGGGCGTGGCCACAATTTTTTGTTGTTGAGGAATTGTGATGTTTTATTCGTTGAACCTTTTTACTTTTAGATGCACATTTCCGTCATTAAATTAGTAAAGGCACACATATGGTATGATCACCACCATAACTGTAACATGGCGCTCCAGCGATAAAGCGATTGCTGTCTTTTAAAACAGCGGTTTAACATATTTATTCTCTTTGATACTTCATACGAGAATCATCAAAATGGTTACAAAAACATGGTGTGTTTTACAAAAATATGGCGCGAAGTATTCAAGAAATATTACAAAGCTTGTAGGTTGCTATTTTAAGAAAATATTTCCCGAGGCCGTCCATTAAAATTTAGCTGTTCAAATTCAGAGGTGGCCGTCCATAGGACGGTCGGACGGCCACCTGGCTAACACCCTGCACTCACTAAAAAAGGGCTTACCTTGTCAGGAAAGACTATATTCCACTGTTTTCCATCAATGTTATGTTTCACCAATAGTTCAATTTGTCTTTGCTTCCCTTTTCCATTTAACCCGGGCAAGCCCAGTGATTGTAAGATAGAAGTCAGTTCTTGTCCATGTAATTTCTTGAGAATTGCAGGTGCTTGCGATGGCATTGCAAAAGCATTGGTCAGAAATTCCTTTATTTGAGCTATATCTGTAGGATTCTGTCTATATGCTAACACATACTTGTCACTTTGACTGACCTGTTTCACCTTTTTACTCGCTGGGGCACCTGTGCCCTGGCGAGTATAGGTTTCGGCTCTGATTTTTCTCCGATTGATAGCCACAAAATAGAATACTAATGAGCTACCTACTTTTACCCAAATTATCCATTTGGCTCCTGCCAATTTTTACCCAAATTAGCCATAAATAACCCTAAGTATTGAGAAAAATTCAAGAATATTACTAAAAAAGCCAAAGCTACTGTTTATTTTAACCAGTACGAACATGTTTACGTTCTTTTAAAACTGACATTTTACTGCACT